GGCTAGGTACTGACTCTGTGAGTGTGGGGGGAAGCAGGTGATTATTGCTTTGAGTAAGAGAGAGGCCAATGAATGGGGACATGGTAGGAAGGAGCCAGAAATGGGAGAGGGAGGTTTGGGAGTGGATGTGCCTGCATCTACACAATGACTTGCACTCACAAGTGCAACCCCTAAAGGAACCAACCCCAACGTCCATGCACACGTGAAAACATGAGCAAATTCTGCCATTCCTACACAGTGGAATACTGCTCAGAAATGAAAAGGAGTCACCATTTATTTTTACATGCAACAACATGGATGAATCTCACAATAACACTAAGTGGGAGAACCCAGGCCAGAACAAGCGGATACTGAATTATTCAATTTGTCTGGAACTCCATAAAATGCAACCTGATATCTTTATAGTGACAGAAAGCAGATCAATGGTTTCCTGGGGACAGAGGTGGAAGAAGGAAAGATTTCCCAGGGATATAAGGAAAGTTTTGAAGGTGATGGATATGTTCATACCCTTCACTGTGGAGATCATTTCACCTGTGTACACATGTATCAAAACTTATCAAACTGTACACTTTACGTGTACCTCAACTGTATTTGTATCAGTGTTTTGTACTTATATATACACACCAACTGTACCTCAATAAAGTCATAATAGCAACAACAACAGTAATAATAACCAACAGCCTCCCTGGTAGTTCAGACGGTATAGCATCTGCCTACAAAGTGGGAGACCCAGGTTCGATCCCTGGGTCGGGAAGATCCCCTGGAGAAGGAAATGGCAACCCACTCCAGTATTCTTGCCTGGAAAATCCCATGGACTGAGGATCCTGGTAGGCTACAGTCCATGGGGTCGCAAAGAATCGGACACGACTGAGCGACTTCACTCACTTAAATGCTGAGGAGAATGGACTTACGGTATGGCTTCCTGAAAAAGAAGATGAGATCATGCTACTTGGATCTGAGGAGCTAAGCCCCCAACTTGACCTATGAGAACATATCAAGTAACCTTTGCCTGAAAAGTCTCTCCTAGGTTCTAGTAGTGGAAAAAGTGAGATGGGATGAAAAATCACTGCAGTGGAGGGCTAGATTGGCTGTTTGGGTAAAAAATCTTATTAGCACCCAAAGGTGTATGGGTAGAATGTTGAAATATTATTTGCTCAATACCTGATTATTTTATTTTAGATTTTGTCTCATTTCCCCTTAGGACCACTAGGATCTTACGCTGCCCAATTTTCCCCTCTGAAACGGAATTAAGTGCTGCTGCACCAGGGAAAACCGCAGAGGAGAGAGGGCGACATTGGAGAGAAGACCTCTGACTCTATTGCACCCTTTCCTGACTCCCATTTCTTCCTGAAGTTGGGGACGGGCTGTAAGTGGGGGGCAGGTCGAAAGGAAACACACCCCAAACCCAGCCTGACGGCAATGCTAAGCTCCGCCTTTCTCAGTACTTAGGATTCTTCAAAAAGGATGATACTAAACATTCCTGAAATTAAGAGAAAAGATGAACTCTCAGATACCAAGAGGTAAGGGTCAAGGGTCCTAAGGATTTGGTTCTTTCTTTCATTTCAGAATTGAAACCTGTCCTTTGCTGGCCAAGTTCCCCTGACTGCTCTCCTCTTCCATCCCATTCCTCTCTGTCACTCTCCACAACCCCAAAGGCCTAGACAATGTCCCCAGGTAACAATCAATCGCTCAACATCTCTTCCCAAACCTCAGCCTTTAGGACGATGAGAGTTTTTATCAGCACTACCCTGTGCCCTTGGTTTTGGATTTCCCTCATAGGAGCCAGAGTTAAAAACGAACACTTGCCTTTTACTTTATACTACAGGACTATAAAATGGGACAATTAGTGTGTCTTGGCCTATTTCAACCATGCAAAGAAACTTGAATCTCAGTTGTCAGAACCTAAAGAAACTCTGGTGACAGGACTAATAATAATTAGCTGGCAGGCTTGGCAGAATTTCTCAGTTTGCATCAGAATCACCTGGCATGCTTGTTATCAAGGCCAGTTCCAGGAACCCAATTCCAGACCTCAGGAATCAGACACTCTGGGAATGGGGCCTGGGAGTCTGACTCTAATGCTCTGTAACAATGTAGGAGTCCCTTTGTTTTAAAGGAACAGAGTGAGTATCTTTGCTCCTTCTTTCGTGTTTTATTCTTGTCTTGTTTTGTTTCTCAGGAGTCTATGATGAGAAATTCTTAAGAATGTGTAACAGGCATAGACTTGTGTTCCTGGACCAATATGGGGAGGGTAGGTGGGGCTGGCAAGAGGTGTGCCAGCACAGTATTGTCCCATCAGGACGTGGCAGTTTTGCCAGGAGGCTCACAGGGATGTGCACTTTGCTAGAGAAGGTGGTTTGGTTCCCCCCTGTTCCAGGCTGGGGAGGCTGGTGTCCTGTGAAAGGGCAGAGATCAACATTGCTGGTGTTTGAGGGCTGGAATGGAAGAGGAAGCATTGGGCTGATGCCAGGGGACTGCTGGAATTCCCCTGGCTCCAGGAGAGGTGCGGGTTGGTAACCAGTGAGACCCTTAGAGGGAGGAGAAGGTGTGGAGGCAGATTAGACCTCCTTTCATTCACGGCCTGATATCAATACTGGATAGAGGAGATACTTCATTGTCCTTGATTTGGGGGTCAGAAGTTGGGAGAGGAGCCAAGGCTTGGGAGTTCCAGAACTATTAGATTCCAAATCTACTATACCCACCTGGCCAAAGGAAGGGGTGTCTGACCAAGTCACAGACCAAGTCACAGAAGACTCCTATCCAGATTGGAGGCCATGTTTCCCTTCAGGAATCTATCCATCCATCCCCGCTGGCTCACACAAAAAACAAGCCAATCAGGCTGACTTCTACTTGTCCTGCCAAACTCAACTTTTTCACCTTTCCTAAGCCCCTGGGTGGGTTTGAGAGCCTCATGCTTGCCCATATTATATAACCTAAAACCATGTTACAATTTTAGGCTTACATCACTGTCTCCCCAGCCGACAATCTGCATTGTTGTGGCCAGCTCAAGGCCTCTCACACAATAGACAAATGCTCATGATCCCATGAGTGTCGCTCTGCATACGTGTGGACCCTCAAGGGACAGGGACCAGAAGAACCTAGCACCTAAGGCCTCCTGCACAATGGGGAGAGACTTAGTCTAGATGGAGCCTTAGACAGCAGGCCAGCCTCCTGCCCACTCTGCCCTGTGTCACAAAGCTGCCAAGGATCACAGCTCCAGCTGGCAAGAAATGAGGTTTCTTCCTGGAAGGATTCTTGGCTTGAGAACCAGCCCATGCCTCTTCCAGTCTTCTTCAGTACCCTCAGGTTTCTGGGGACCTAGAAGACAGGAGGGGGAGACCGAGGCAATCCCACCTTTGTTACTGTTTCCCAATGCCCTCTGCCTACCCCTTAATTCCCCCAAGTGCATATGGCAGGGATTCCCTAGAATACAGTTTCCCAAGCCCAGACAGAGATGGTGGGGCGGGGGCGGCGGGCAGGGCTGGTTGAACATTTATGGCCAGAATGGTACTGTCTCTAGCCACAATTACTCCACCTACACATCTGGCCTTTTGTAGCTTTAATTAACCAAGATAAGCTTACAGCCCACCAGATTGAGGAACAAGCCCAGTATCAAAAAGAGGAGATCCACATTCAATTTTCTGAGAATTCACTCCAGTGACACACACTGGGCACGTTTCTGGTTAGAATATCCTTGGCCTCGTAGAAGTCCCTCAAACCCCTCGATAGAGATGGCTACTACAAAGCCCTCCCCCTAGCCCAGGAAACACACCCAACCACAGCTATTTATTTTCCTTTTAATTTTTCTGAAGGATATACACCACATATCCCATGGGCAATAAAGCGCATTCAATGTGTTTATAAGCCAAACAGTCACTTTGTTTAAGCAAACACATGTACAAAGTAAAATAAAACCACAAAATAATGAACTGCATGTTCATAACATACAAAAATTGCTGCCTACTCAGTAGGTAACTACAACATTCCAACTCCTGAATTATATTTATAAATTTACATTTTCAGTTTAAAAAAATAGACTTTTGAGAGTTCAGATTTTTAGATTTTGTTTTCTTACATTCTGGAGAACTGGAGCTCAAGCTCAGCCCCCTTCCTTATTTTGCTCCCAAAGCCTCCCCCGAATCACCACTCCCTGCCCCCCTTAAGGCTAGAGGTGAGCACATCCCTCACAATTGCACATGTCAAGCCGTGTCAGCAAGGCGCATCACGCAAAAGGCACCAAGACGTGAAACTTTTAAACCAAAAGGACAAAAAAAAAAACCTACTTTCAAAAAAAGGAGAAAAACCAAACCGTATTTTGCCACATGTGAGTACAGTCGGGCAGTATTTACAAAACGGTTAACAGAACAACACTCTGACACATGCTCCGTTTAATACCGAGAACTGCTGTTTCAAAAAAAAGCTTCAAACTTAATCGTCACAGCATCATCACAAAACAAAGGATCACCATTGGTTTTGGCTTTTCTTTTTTTGTTTTTTTCCCAAAAGCAAGGATCTAATTCCAAATAATACAATAGAGTATGCAAATTATCTTCACATCAAGAGTACCCCAAGAAAAACAAAATCCATGGCACAGACACTGTACAAGAGTACAGGGCTGGGCTCTGAGGGGCCCAAACCCCATTTTTGCCAACTTGATTTTCTAGCATTGAAGGGAGCAAGGGGTCAGGCATACGATGGAGATGATACTGAAATGATATATCCAGAATCCATGCAAATCAAGTTCTTTGATAGATGTGAAGAACTTGGACATGGCTGTTTCAGGCAGCTGAAGTCAAAGGGAATAGGGACTGGGAAGGAAAGGGAAGTGGACAGAAAGAATTGTTGGCCAACAGACCTTCCACAGTGACCCTGGGGTCAAGTAGAGAGGGAGGACTTGGCTCTGAGAACCTCCATCTGACCTAAGAGGAACCCCCTCCTATGGCCATCTCCTCCTCCTGTCCTTTAAGTCTCTTGTGTTTCATTTTCTGCCTTTTCCTTCCCCTTTAGCAAATTTCAATTGTCCTGGGAGAAAAGGTGGTTGTCATGTCCGAAAGCCCAGTGGAGGCGCTGAAGGAGTTGGTGACAGCTGAGGAAGGGAAGCTGCTGACCTGGGTCGGGAAAGCAGGAGGGACGGAGGAGTATGTGGTGGCCACCGAGGGGGATGGGAAACCACTGTGGACAGGGGATGGGTAGGTCGAGGAGCCGGGAGAGGAGTAGGAGGTGGGCACCGGCGATGGATATGAGGTGGTGGCTGGGGATGGGTAAGAGGTAGTAACTGGGGATGGGTAGGAGGTAGCCACCGGGGACGGGTAGGAAGGGAGAGAGGAGGGGGCAGCAGAGACTGCGTTTTTGTCTGCTTTTTTGTCCTTCTGCCGCAAGTGGATCTTGGTATGCCTCTTGCGTTCATCGCTCCTGGCAAACTTTCTCCCACAGATGTCACAGGCGAAGGGCTTCTCCCCTGTGTGGGTGCGGATGTGGGTGGTGAGGTGGTCGCTGCGGCTGAAGTTGCGCATGCAGATGCGGCACTGGAAGGGTTTCTGGCCGGTGTGGATGCGAATGTGGCGGGTGAGCTCATCTGAGCGGGAGAAGCGCCGGTCACAGGACTCTACAGGGCAGGCGTAGGGGCGTTCATGGGGGGGCGTCTTGCTGGGCCGGTTGGGGTATTTGCGCATGCGGCTGGGTTTGATGAGCTGAGACTGGTAGGTGCTGTTGAGGGCCTTCAGGTCCTGGGAGCCCGACTGTGTGGCAAAGGCCTTGATGGTAGAGAGTGGAGTGAGTGAAGGCTGCTGGGTACGGCTCTCCAGGCCCTGGAAGGGCTTCTGGTCTGGGGTGCCCAGGCCCAGGTCCCCCTGCTGTTGTGGAAACAGATAGTCGGGGATCATGGGGACCTGGAAGCTCCCCTTGGCACCAGGGTAGGCAGGAGGTGGGTACTGAAGGGCGGGGCCTGCTGAGCCCGGAAAGGCCTGGCCTTGTGGCTCAGGGAACATGTCAGTGTTAGGTGTGGGGAAGGTGGGTGCCGCGGAGTAGATGGGGCTGCTGTCGTTGGACTGCACTGCGCAGCTCAGCGGTGGGCTCTGGGAGGCCGAGGAGGAGGCTGCTGGAGATGATGCTGAAGATGAGGTGGCCGGTGGGTTGGTCATGCTCACGAGGCCGCTGACCAGGCTGAAGAGGGGCTCAGGCCACAGGGTGTTGCCACTGTTGGGTGCAGGCTCCAGAGAGAAGCGGCCTGTGTAGGTGATGGGGGGCAGCCGGGTGGTTTGGCTGGGGTAACTCGTCTCCACTAGAACCTTCTCGTTATTCAGAGAGATGTCAGGAAAGGACTCTGGCAGGAGAGAGGGAGGAGGCCTGGTTACTGGAGAGCAATCACCGGAGGACGCAGAAGACCCAGCTGCCAGACAAGAGGTCGGGCCAGCTACCATTGACTCTTGAGCTAGTTAATAATTGATAGCAGCAGATTGAAATGTTCCTGGACCCGCTCCAGACGCAGAACCCATTTCAACAACCGCTGACGCAAATACGGAGAATCCCCCTCCACTGCAGCTCCCAGGGCTCCGCAGCGGCGGCTGCGCGGGCGAGGGATTCCCGCCAGTACCCCGCAACGGCCGCGGCTAGTGCGCGCCCCCTACCCCGGGCTGTCGGGACATCCCGGGCCAAGGATCCCGGCCTTTCCTCGGGGATAGCGGAAGGCTAGGCAAGCCTTTCTGGAGGGGGAGGGGGCGCAGCCCTGCTCGTCAAAACACGCTCTCCCTCCTCCATCCACCCACGCAGCCCCACAGCTCTCCATCCAAAACAAAAGCTGGCTCCTCTGCGCACCGTTAAGGACAGGGTGGGGGTGGGGAGAATGTCTCCAGGCAGTCCTCTAACACAGGACCCTGGGGACGAGAGGAAAGGAAGGGAAACCCCATTTGCATCCCTGCGACGAAGGGGGCGCTGCAAAGGCCGTGGGGAAGGACTGGACGCCAGGATGTCGGCGAACGGGCTAGGTCTCGGCGTAGGCCACAGCTTACCTGCGGTCAGGTGCTCGTAGGGCTGCTCGCTTGCCTCCCCCTGAGGATTGAAGGCGCTGCTGCTGTTGCTGTTGCTGCTGCTGCCGCCCCCTCCACCTCCACCGCCCCCGCTGCTGCTGCTGCTGCTGCTGCTACCGCTGCTGCTCTCCGGGGCCCCGGCGGCACCGAGGAACTGGGGAGCCCCATTGCTCAGCAGCATCATCTCCTCCAGCTTAGGGTAGTTGTCCATGGTGGGCGAATGAGGAAAGGAGCCAAAGGGGTCGGAGATCTGCAGCGGGGACATCAGCTGCATCTCGGCCTTGGCTGCAGCCATCCCAGACCGGCGGGCTGGAGAGCTGGTGTTGGGGCGGGTGGGCGCAGCCGGGGACCGAAGCTGCGGGGGACACGTCTCGGGGGCTTGGCCAGGTCACATGCGGGACGCGGGGCACACTGTGGAGAGCGCAGGCGGGGTCCGCAGGCTCGCCCTCGCCGCCGGCCGGTGTAGACGCGGCGCTGCTACCGAGGCTGGGGTAGGGGCCGGTCCTGCGGCGGCGGAAGCTGGCGGCGGCGGCAGCTGGCGGCGGCGGCTCCCCAAGTTCTGCGCGCTGGGATCTCTCGCGACTCCCCGGATCCGCCTCTATTTGAAGGGTCTGGAACGGCACGGACCCGCCTCCGTCGTGACGTACATGGCCATATATGGGAGGCAGGAAGCCCTAATATGGCAAGACCGGCCGGGAGGACCCGGAGTGACGTGAAGCCCCCTCTCCAAGAACTGTAGGCACTGCCGTCCCGCACCCTAGGCCCCACGCCGGCTCCCGCACCCTGAGTGCCCAGGCTTCGAGGAAATTTAGTGCTCAAGCCGCAGCTGAGGACTCCCAGACCGAAGATGCTCAGTAGTTCCCGGCGTTGCCCCCGCCTCTTCCCTCCACCTTCTTCCCTCCTCCCGGAGCCGGAAGCAGCCGGGCCATATCAGGGCGCCCCAAATAAGGCGCTGCCCAAATAAGGATTGTTCCGGCGGGGGATCCTTCCTGCTCCTTATATGGCGTTTCCGGGTCTCTGCTTACCGCTCCCTGGCTCCCTCCCTCCTCCCTGGTTCCAAGCCGGGAGCCCAACGCGCGCTCTAGAGCCGGGGACGCCCAGGCGGGGAGGGCTCCGGGCGCGTAGTGCTAGGCGCATCGCGGTTCCCCGGCGGGGACTGGGCTGGGAAAGCCCGGGCCCTGGGCGGAGGCGAGGGCGAGGAGGACTGGGGTTCTGCCGCCGTCATCCAGGGCTCGCCCGCCCACCTCTGGGACCGTGGGAGCCGGGCGGGAGCGAAGGGGAGGAGTGGCTGGGCTGGCCAGGGCAGAGGCCGCCCAGGAGAGGCGGGGCCCTGACCCCTGGCCTCGACCAATGGCATGGCGCCTTTCCCGGTGTCGCGGTGGAAACTGAGGCTTAGGAAACAATAGCCAGATGGTTCCTGTGCAGTGCGGTGGCCCACCTGCTTCTCCGCCATCTGCTAATGGAGTGGGGTTGTTGGGGCCTCGGGATCCCTCTGCGCCACCAGAACCGAAAGGCGATTCTCTGGTTCTCTCTGGGGAAGAGCCCACGCTTGGGTGGCTGGACAAGGGAAGCTGATTGTCTCTGGAGAAACCTGAGTCCTTTTCCCACCAGGAGCTAGTGGTCCTTGGGATGGTGGGAGACTGACCCACCGTTATCCAGAACAGGTGATTGGTGGGGGCGAGAAGTGTGGGAATCTGAACAGGAGGCTTCCCTACGGGCTGTCTGGGGACCCCCGGCCGGCGAGAAGAGAGATCTGCTTAGCGAGTTGGTGCTGCCCTCTGGAGGTCCCCTCTCCAGCTCGGTTCCCCCGGCCCCTGGCCGAGTAGGCTTTTCGCCGCCTTCTTGCTCCCCCTCCCAGCTCTTGTGCTGGGCCCTGCGCCAGGCAGGGGGAGCCTTAGACGCAGTGAGCGCTAACTGAGCAGGCGCCGCAGCCTGGGCTCCCCCTGCAGTCCCTGGGGAGCCGCCACAGCCGAGGCTCGCAACTCCCCGGCAGGGTAACACTCCCCTCCTCCAGCCAGGCCAAGGGCGAGGGTGGGAGGAGGGGCTGGTTAGGCTGGCAAGGTTCCAGCCGGTCTCCTGGGAGCTAGACGCAAACGGGGAAGCCCTCCGCATTGTGTCCCCGCTCCCCCCCTTCAATGCGCACCCCAAACAGAAAGGGGATTCCTGTTGGGGAAGGCTTCTGCTCTAGCTCTGAATCCAGAGGAGGTGGTGTTTTTCTGAATTTAAAAAGAAAGCAGTAAGTGTGTGTGTGTGGAAGGAGGGTGCTGATGGCACTGGGAGGGAAGGAGGGGGGCGGGTTAAGGTCTCCCTGAACCCAAACAGCTTCAGGAAGTCGGGGTTGAGGATGTAAAATGGGGGAGGAGGATGTAACTATCTTCGGCTTCATCCCTCTGTATTCTACACACACACAAATCGGCTTAAGGAATCCAGCAATGAACCAGGGCTCCCTTATCTCTGTTCTCTAAATCTGAGCTCCCCATCCCAAACGCTAGGACCTGGTGGGGGCCAACTCCCACTGGTACCGAGTTGTCCATTAGAAGCAAAAGCCTCCTACAGGGCCGAATGGCCAGGCCAGTCAGGGTCAGATGTGTTGTGTCTGAATGCCCATTTTGCTCCTCCCTGGTGGGGTACCTTGGCCAGGCTTTTCTTATCTCTCTTCAGCTGTAAAACAGAGCTAATGTTAATGATGGAAGGATTGCTGTGAGGACTGAAAATTTACATGGACTTCCATGTGTGAAGTTCCAAAGGACAGTGCCTGCCTTGCAGCTGACATTCAGTACACAGTGGCTATTGCTGTTTTCTGGGGCTTTTGATCCACTGGGTTGCCCACAGTTCACCCACCCATCCTCAGCCCCCAAGTAAACCCCAGTGACCCTTTTCTGAAAAGTTGTACAGAGAAGAAGAAATATTCTAATCCTAACACATGGGCCATTGTCCTGAAGAGCTCATCTTAATCCTTCTTGCTGCAGTAGAACATTATTTCATAGAGCAGATTTTTTTTCAGCCTTGACTGTGCACAAATGGAGCTCTGAAAAAGAGGTTTTACCCTAGGCTAACTGAATCACAGTCTTCCTGAGCTCGTGAGGGCCAGAACTGAACAGACACTTCCTAGGATCGTTTTTCTGTTTCTGGGGAGCTACCCAGGATCTGAGAGTACGTATTCCTCCCCCAGCCAGGGCAAACTGGTTTCCCTATGATTCTAATGTGGAATCTGACCCACGGGATCTTCAGGTCCTCACTGAAGCTGGGCACTCAAAATCCTAATAGTCTGCATCTTTTGCTTTGTGTGTCCAACCATTCTTTTTCTAAGTGCTCCCAGTCAGCTATTTCCTTTGGAGAACCACCCCCAATCCATATGGTTGAGGGAAGAAAACCCCATCCTAGATCTAGGTGAGGACATGTCACCCCTACCTGGCCATCCATCTAGGATGCTTTCTTCCAGCAGTCCAGGAGCGTTCTATCTCCCTAGGCATAGCCACTGCATCAGGATGGGCACATGACCCAAACCAGGCTAATGAGAGCCTCTTCTAGGACTTTTTCTGGAACTCTGAACAATAGGAATTCTCTTTCTCAGGTGGTACTAAACCAATGGAATGTAAGCCTGGAAGCCATCTTGCCATCTGACCTGGAGAGCTTACCTGAGAATGAAGCCCATGCAGAAGAAATTAAAAAACAGATCCACACCCAGAGAGTAAATCTCTAGATAGAGTTGGGGGCCTTTGAGTTACACAGGTTAATAAATTTCTTTTTTAAATAAAGCTTATTTCAGTTTCTATTACAACCCGGCAGGTTCTGATTAAAACACCCATTATCCACAACAACGATAAACTTTTTTGAGGACTTTCTGTGGACAAAGGCCTGAGGCATAGGCTCCTGCTCCTGAGAAGCTTACAGTTGGGTAGAAGGGAAGCTGGACTCCATGCTACAAGAGAATTAAGATTAGGCAGCAGCCCTGAGTCTGGGACTCTCAGACCTTGCCCACTGGGTGACTGATGCCAAAAGGTCTAGAAAAGGTGAGAGGCCCTCAGAGGGTCTGCAGGTCTGAGCTGATGTCTGTGCTGAGACTTTCCTTGCAAACCAGAGAAGAGGAAGAGGCAGAGGTGAGCAGAACTGAGCTGGTCCATGGCAGCTGACGCTAGGAGAGAGTCAATGGGAACCATCATGTCTGACCCAGGGCTGAGCAGGCTGCAACTCTTGGAGGAAAACAAGCCCCTTTTTCCATCGCCACTTCCTCCTCCTCACCCCAGGCTACGTCAGCACCCACATGTGCTGCTCGGATAGTGGTTTGCCACCACTGTGACCAGCCCAGGGCTCAGGAAGTGACTCTCGCTTTGGTTCTGCCTGGGGTGCCTGTCACACTTTCCGACGGCTGATCAGCTCCGCCGGAAACATGGAGGGCCTGGCCTTCAGTGGGTCTGGGGGCAGCTCTGCTCCCACCCCAGGGAGGGTCTTTGGGCGCTGAGAGAACTTGAAGAGGCCAGGTATGGAGTGGGACAGAAGATGCGCTGAGAGGGTGGGGGAGAAGTGGAGGCATGGTGGAAGAGGGGAAATGAGAGCAAATCACCCCAGAGTGCTCCCGTGGGAAACCATCCTATTTCCTCCAATTTCAGATGGGAAAACTGGGTGCCAGAGGAGATCCTGAGCCCTAGGACAGGTGGAGAAGGACAAATTCTGAGACAGGCCCACACAGAGTGATGCTGAGGCCTCAGGAAGTGGAAGGTCCCCCGGGCCCTGAAGAGGTGCCTGGCTGCACCCTCCAGATGGGATCCAGGGCTGCAGCGAGGAGTCCATGTAGGATCTGGCCCAGGTGGGGCGTCTGCCTGTGGGAATCGGGGTCTGGGTTGCTGTCCTTTGAGTCTGCATGAGGGGTCATGTGCCGGGCAGAGTTAGGTAAGGCCTGAAGGGAAGTCACGGGAGTGGCACAGAGGGACCATGAAGGGAAGAGGGAGTGGGTCAAGGTAGGTGAACATTTCAGCATGCTCACTGGGTCCTCTCTGCCCTGCAGAAGCAGGAAAAGGCTGCTGTCCCTGGACATCAGTCCCTTTGCCCTGTGCTGAGTGGTCCCTCTCCCAGGCCTGGGGTCAGCGGGATCCTGGGCTCAGAGGACAATCCATCCTTCCTTGCTCCACCCACCCCCAGCTGAGTGTGCAGCAAAGCTGGCTGCAGAAATCTCTGGAAGCTCGTTGGGCAGGCAGAGGGAGGGGAGTGTTACATAAGAAACCACTGATGTGCAGGAAGTCTAGAGCAGCCTTTAGATTAGAAAGGCAGCGTTCCCATCCAGCCCAGAAAGGCAGG